ATTTCTCCGGAGTTGTTGCCAGGCCTCTGGGGGGAATCAATCCTCTAACCTTCTGGTGAGTACATACGAACCATTCCCACCACCCAGATTCCCATCCTTATGGAAGCGTCCCCCATTCTTCTAGAACCCCAGGTGGCACAGTGGGCTTGGGCTGCTGACTAAAAGGTCAGCAGGTCAAGCCCACCAGCCCCTCCTGGGGAGCAAGGTGAGGGTGTCTGCTCGGTAAAGGTCTTTTCAGGAACCCTCCAGGGGTTTGTCCCCACTCAAAAAAAAACAAACTCCCCGCCATCGAATACACAGCGTGGAACTGCCCCTTTTGAGTTGTCAAGACTGTTGACTGGGGTAGAAAGCCCCTGAGGAGCGTCCTGGTGGTTTTGAACTGCTGACCTCGCAAATCGCAGCCCAACGTGTCGCCACAAAGGAGCTGCCTGATGTTCTCATTCTCCTGGAAAGTGAACCTTCTGTCCCACAGTCCTCAAAGGAGGTGCTCAGTAAAGGCACCTCAGATTGCTGAATGGACAGGTGATTTGGCAAAACCTCAGCTCAAGGAAGCCTTACCCCCAGGAGGCCCGACCTAGCACCCAGAAGGCTGCACCCTGAGCCCCGGGAAAATGTCCCCCTCCTGAAACAACAGACCACCCACAGGTGGAGGGCGCAAAGGGCAGGAGAAAGCAGCCGGCTCCCAGACTGGCGGCAGCATTAACCAAAGGGTGCATTTAAGAAATTTTTAATCGATCACAGTTAGGCATTCAGGCTATAAAAACATTCTATACAGTGGTTTAAAAAGTCACACCCATCCCCCTTTAAAAGCCACCTGTACACAGCATGGACATTCTTCAGAGACCCAGAGAATCATTGTACCTTGGGGTGTCAGCGCCCCCACAGGAGTAACTGAGTAAGTGCAGCAGCCACGTTTTGCAAAAATAAATAGCTCTTCTCTTTCTGAACAGAAGTGGTCATCATTGCAGCAACTGTACAAAGTGCAACCTAACAGCCTGGTCTGTGCACCAGTCTACTTACACCCCTCCATGGGAGGCACCTTCCAGGCTTCTCACGGGGAGGGGGGCGGTGGGCGCAGTGTTTCATCTACATGCCTTGAACCATCTGGAACCCCTGCAGATGCCCGACCAGGCCTGCCCTTTCTGGTCACAGGGTCAGCAGCCAGGGCAGGGGCACCCACTGTCAGTTCCCAAGCCAGGTTCAGCTCCCACTTCCACTTCCACCACGCTCCGCTAGCACACAGGCCCATCTAAGCTCCGCGCACACATCAGCACACAGTGCCAAATAATGAGAGCATCCATTTACAAACTATACAGCCCCGAACGGGAAAAGTGCACAGAAACAAAGAAGGGGCAGCTGGGGCTCCGAGAGGAGGGCGGGGCAGCCCCGCGGGAACTCCTCTTCACTCACAGGGTGACCTGGTGACTCAGGCACTTAGTTGCTGAAGCGCGGCCTATCACGGGGCTCCCCCAGGGAATGGTCTCCAGGTAGTCTCCAGTGGCACCACCCCGTCACACTACGTGCGACTTGCTGGTGCCCATGCCTCGATCCCCTTCCCAGCTTGAGGGGGAACAGGTACTGCTGGACAAAACCTCGCTTCTTGGGCCCTGGGCTGTCTACCGTGCGTGTCAGGCAGAGGTGAGCACGCTTATTCCTGAGTTAAGGGGCTGGGCTGGGCAGGAGCACCTGGAGCCGCCTTCTCTCGGCCCACGGTTCTCCATGTGGTTGCAGTTGAGAACCTAAGAGGTCTCACCTGGCAGCCCGGGCCTCATCCCAGCTTGCTAGCACAGTGAGAAAACAGCCACTCCCTGTCCACGCCAACTTCGTGTCCAGTGGGAAGCACGCACACTGCCCAGAGAATAAATAAATATATGGAACACAGCTCTGGGCAGACGGCGTCGGCGAGTGGGGGGGGCGGGGGCGGTGGTGCAGCGCCTCTTCCTTCTTTGGCTGGGACGACAGGAGAGTCGATGTCTTGGGAGGGTCGCAGACAGGGCGGTGGACGGGCGGTCCAGGGTTGGGGAGAAAGGGTTCCCCTGGCCACGACAGCAGCAGTGGGTTTTGGTGGCACAAGACGCGGTGAAGCAGCTGTTCACACGATGTCATCCTCCAGGCTGACCATCTGCCTCTGTCAACAGGAGGACCCAAGCTGTCAGCCCAGCTCCCCTCTCCTGCCGCCTGGGCCTGGGGCCTAGCCACCTCTGCCTGGGCACCCCCACTGGTGGGTACCTATGAATATCTCACCTCCAGGGCATGCCCCTAAGTCCCCTCGAGGCCCACGCAGCACATGGCATGTGGTGCCCTGCACCGACTTAGCAACTGTCTCATGACCTGACACCTTGCATGTGTGACACTGGTAACCTATCTCCGACCTGGTGGACGTGTGACGGGGGAGGTGCAGTGGAATGGGCTGCGACAGTTAAAGCGCTGGGTCCTGCTGGCCGGGCTATGGCTCTCAGAGGTTAACGGTCACACAACCATGTGGTCATCCTCCATGTTCGCATAACGGCCTGGTCTTTGGAGCTCACGCCGTGTGGCCAGGTGAAGAGTGGCTTTGTCCCTATCAGCAGAGCCGCTTCCCTCCCACACCCCACGCTGCTCCAGCCACGAACCAACCACGGGCCAACAAGCCACTCTGTACCCTCAGGCTTGCCGCCCCCAGTCTGTGCTTCATCTGCCTCTCCGCCCACCAGGAAAGGGGCCCGCAGCTGCGGGGGCGGGCGGACAGACACTCGGCTCAGCCAGCACTCACCGCGGGGTACGTGTAGCCGTCGGGGTACGAGCAGCCGTCCTGGCTGCGGCAGATGTGCACCTGGTCCTCGGTGGTCTTCTGGTACACGGGGTTGTCGAAGTTGATGCTGTTGATGCTCTTCAGGCGCCAGTTCTTCCAGAGGAGGAAGGCTCCGAAGCAGAGGAGGACGAGCAGCACTGGGGACAGAGGAGGGGCTGGTTAGGGTGCTCCTGTCCCCAGTGCTGAAGCCATAAAACACAACACGTACTGCTTGCTGCTGACTCAAGCCCGACTCACAGCGACCCTACAGGACAGGGTAGAACGCCCCTGTGGGTTCCCAGACTGTCCCTCTACAGGAGCAAAAAGCTTCGTCTTTCTCCGGTGCAGCAGCTGCTGGTTTCCCATTGCTTAGGGCTCCATGCTTCTGTAGGAAACCATGCAACGTGGCTGTCTGTCTGTCTGTCTGTCTGTCTGTCTAGGGAACCTGGGAGGAAGTGAAGGTGTTGTCACACTGGGGCCTTGAGGGGCCTTCACCCAAGGTGTACAAGTTGCTGAGTGAGAACTGGCACTTTCTTTATAAACTTTCATCCAAACCACAATAAAGTAGTCACCGCACACGCGCACACGCACACACGCACACACACACACACACACACACAAGCTTCAAAGGGTCATGGGAAAATGGAGCTAAATGAATGGGATTCTGTGAGGGTTTTGTGTTTGTTTTTCTTAATGTATTTTTTATTGTGAATTAGGGGGGCTGTGGACTTTCTGCATCAGAAGTCCTGCTAGCACAGGGGTTCCAGGCTGCTCACTCCGAAGCAGCGGTTTGAAGCCACCCTGCTCCACAGAGAAAGTGGAGGCTTTCTGCCCCTGCACGGTGTGGTCCTGGAAACCCACAGGGGCGGACATACTTTGTCCTGTGGGGTCACTATGGGAACAAGGTGCTGCGTGACCCAGACATCTGCCTGTGTCCCCGGGGCACCTCCCCTCGGGAGCAGCCGGGCCCAGGCTCCTTCTGTGAGGAACCTCCAGGGCCAGGGCCCTGGGATTTTCAGAGGGGGGGTGTCACTGGCTCAGCGCCACTGGGCGACCACCTCACTCCTGCTTTAACACAGCTGAGCAGACCCTCCTGTCCCTCATGGACAGCACTCCACCCAGCCCCAGGTTCCGCGCCTCATGGCGACTATCAGGTTTAGCCAGCAGGGGCTGTGGAAGTTTCTGCCCGGGCCCAGGAAGCAGAGAAGAACCAGGCCCTGCTGAGTTGGGGTCACCATGGAGTCCGAGGAGAGTAAGTCACCCACAGCCAGAAGACAGCTTGGGCCCAGACACCGACCGGTTGTCTCTGAGCAGGCTGGGCTGGAGGACCCTCAGGGGCTGCCCTCAGCACCTCTGAGGGCGAGGGGGGCTTGTCCGTGCCGGCCCCTTCCTGCCTCCCAGGTTTGGGGCCCCCGCAGCAGCACGCCCTGTCCTCATCCCTGCCTGACACCCTGCTGGCTCAGTATTGATCCCTGGCAGCGCTAAGGGGACAGCGCCTTTCTTTCTTTCACAGCTGTGGCCCAGGAATGGGAGGTGGGCCTGGTTGGGGGTAGGTGTGGAACAGTGTCCGGTAGATGAATGATGCTAGAAAGGGGCCTGGTGGTGACCAGGACGTGTGGTGGAGCCGCGGGCGGGCTTGGACAGGGCTCGGACCGACGGGGTGGGTGGGGGCACTTACCGATGGGAAGGACGATGGTCAGCACTCCCACGTGTCTGGGCTTCTCATCGGCTCCTCTGCCGGCCACGTCGCCCAGGGCTGCATAGAGGCAGAGAGTCAGGCTCGGACCAGAAGGAGGGCCAGAGAAAGCAAAGATTGACCCTCCCGTAGAAACCCTGCCTCCAGCACTATCTTTTCAATGTCAGAGGCACGGGGGAGCGGCGCCCAAGTCCGAGCAATAACACACTTCGCTCTTCAACTGCAGCGGCCCCGGGTTCGAGGTGGCTTTGAGAAAGTTCGTCCACTCCACAGCGACGTTGGGGCGGCTCAGGGCGAGGGGCCCTCAGGCAGATCTCGGAGAAGGACGTTTGTGGAGGCAATCTCCCCGGTGGGCCAAGTCCCTGGTGGCAGGTTTCCACCCGGCTTTGTGCTTTCATTTCACCGAAATAAGCATCTTCCAAAGGGCCCACCTTCTGGCCTGCTAAGGCTCAACAGCTTCAGTGGCCCAGATAGATCCGCCAAGTGAGACAGTCCTGTGCCCTTGAGGGTCTTGGACCATCAGAGCCCCCACCAATGACGCCTTCACGTATCCCATGGTCAGGCGGCTTGGCCAAGCCAGCGGGAGCCAAGCGACCACCAGACACTGCTATCAACCGTCAGCACAGAATGGACGGTAACCGAAGATGGGGCTACCCAGGTCGACAGCCTCTCGGAGGGCACCTAAGAAACCTTGATGTAAGCACTTGAAAGCCACAGTGGAACCCTTGGGGACTTTCCCGCCCTCCCTTCTGCACCAGCCTCCTGTCCCTTCCCTCCTCCATCCCCTGGCCTCATTGTCGTCTTCAACGTCTTTTCCTTTGCTGTGGAAACCACTTTCCCTTTGCGTCCTTTTCCTCGGTAGTTACGGCGTCATTAGTGATTTCCTCTCGTGAGAGCAACTGTGCTGAGCTCGTTCCCAAAGGGTGGGAGTGACTGGGTGCTCCTTCTGAAGGACACCCGGCGGTCCGTTGTCCGAATGTCCCCGCATTGTAATTGCCCATTCCTCGAGAGTTACAGAGATGTTTGTTGCTGTCTTTTTGCGATGAGAGATGGCTGCGATGATCGTAGGTGGGCACACATCTGTTCATGCTTTGTTCTCATTTCTTTAGAATCGATACCCAGCAGAGGGATTCCAGGATCATAAGGTATTTGCATCTGCGTTTGTTTCAGGAAGCGCTACACTGATTTCCATAGTGGCTGTATAATGCTACAATCACACCAGCGGTTATGAACCCCAATCTCTCCACATCCCTTCCAGCATATATATATTTATATTGACAACAGCGTTTGTGTGAGGTAGTTTTCATTTGTATTATCTTTATGGCTCAAGAACACGTCGAATGTTCCTTCATATGATTGTTGGCCATTGGGATGCCACCGTCAGTAAACTGTCTAATTGCGTCTTGGGCCCACTTCCTAATTGGGTTACTCGGTTTTTTCTTCGTAAGGTGTGGGAGGGAGACGGTCCTCCCTTTTAAGGAGCCCTGGTGACACATTGTGCAGCCAACCGGAGGTCAGCAGTCAGAGCCACCAGCTCCTCCCTGTCAGTGTCTGCAGCCCCGGGGACCCCGTCAGGGCAGCCCCGCTCTGTCCTCTAAGGCTGCTACGAGCCAGACCGGCTCGATGGCAGTAAGTAAAAAAGTGGACGAGGCCACGAACCGCTGGTCTTTAGTGGCGGCCCAGAGGAAGGCGGCCTGGGCGAGTTAGGCTGCCCAGAGAGGGCCTCGACCTGAGTGGAAAATGTCAGTACTCAAGTAACATTTCTGAGAATAAAAATATTAAAAATGCCCACGGTGAACCAAATACCAACACTGTAAACAAAGACACATCCTGCCTCGACCTCTGTAGCCTCCTACCACCCGGCTCCAATACAACATGGGCAGAAGATGGAACTTGCTGGTTTGAACACACTACATTCAAGTAGGCTCTGCCTCCGAGATTTGGTGCCTCTTCAATGCCCCACCCCGGGGGGCAGCCCAGTGGAAAGTGAGGCAGCGCACTGGCTGTGATCCGGGTTCAGGCTTGCAGGCCCCTGTGCCTGGCACCTCCGGGGGCCTCAGAGTCCCGTGTGCAGGCCTTTTCTACGGGTCTCAGGCCCAGGGCACAGGGAGGGCATGTGCCACTCCAGACACACTCGGGAGCCAGGACAGCACCACGGCACCAGCTCCTCACCGGCACACTCACAGGCTCGCTTGTCCCCGAGTGGGGTGGGGGTGGGGCAGTACTTACCTTGCTGGGTCATGGTGGCCACCTCTGCTGTGGTGAGACCAGGGCTGGTCGAGGGCTGCTCGGGGGTGCCGGGAGCTGGCGTGGTGGGCTCATGCTTCGGCCCCATGGCGGTGGAACCAACCGTCTGCCTGACTGTGGGCTCTGCCGGGGAGGACCCCTGGGTGGTGGCTGCAGGTTCAGGCTCTGAGGGAATAAACCTTCCTTGGAGTCCTGCGTGCACAGAGCCCTGCTGCTCCGGGGAGACAGAGAGGACGCCAACACAGGACTCCCCGAAACTCTAGTATTGTTTGAAGGGGAGTGTCCCAGGTGTAATCAATATTACAGTCCCAAAACCCACAGCTGTTGACTTGGTTCTGACTCAGAGCGACCCTGGATGGTTCCCCAGGCGGTTGCCTCATCTTCCTCCCACGAAGAGGCCGGTGGGTTCAAACTGCTGACCTTCCGGTAGGCAGCCCAGCCCTTTCACCACTTCACCAGGCCTTCGTTACGCACACACTGGCCCCAAGTGGAGACTTCCTCCAAGGGCAAGAAGCACCCAGGAAGGAGCTAGCTGTTCCCACACGACATCGGTGTCTGAAAGAGCCACTCGGGGCCAGGAAAGGAGCCATGTGTTTGTCTGCATGCCCAGCCCAATGCTGAGCACCCCGTCCCCAGGGAGGGCATGGTCACAAACTGAACTGTGCCCCCTCCCCACCCACCCGCCGCGCTACAGCGGGGGTTTCTCGGAATGTCAGTAGGACAGGATTCTGAGTGTCCCGTGTGTCTTTTCTGAGATACAGCCAGCAGGCAGAGACGCCGAGCCTAAGAGAAGTTACCAAGAGGCATGGATGCCCTTTCCCCAGAGCTGACCCAGAGGAAGCCCTTCCCCTGGCCAATAAATACCCTGCATTCTGACTTCCAGCTCTGGACACTGTGAAAGTCTGCCCCTTGTGGTGTGTCTGTCATAGCGGCACCAAGACCCTAGATAACTAAGAGGCAAGGCCAGCACCCATGAGTGCTTGCGGTTGCTGCCCACCCTCCCCCTCAACTCTGACAAAGGCTCCCTTACCTGTGAGGCAGCCCCGCATGTCTGCAGCCAGCACCATGCCGTCAGGGCAGGCACAGGTGAATCTGGGCGAATGGGAGTTGATCTGAGGGGCCGGGAGGCACAGGTAATGGCAGCCACCATTGTGGAGGGGGTTCTTCTCACACCAGTTCACTCCTGGGGGGGGGGCGGAGGGGGGGCGAAGGAGACCTTCCTTAGTGAGGCCAGGCAACACCCGGAGCCCCCGGGGAGCCCAAAAGCAGCAGTGGGGGCGGGGAGCCGGCCGTACCTCTGGGCTGCGTGAGTTTGTGGAACAGCACCATGTCCTCCGGGGACAGCAGGTTCTCAGCCACCAAACTGACGTCCTGGCCTGTGAGGCGGTTGGCACTGAAGATGGCTTCATTGAGGATGTCCGTCCAGAATACTTTATCCTGCAGGAGCAGAACCAGCGCCGCTGACCCCCCGCAGAGGGCCCAGAGCACCGCCCCAGAATCTGACCCGGGAGCCCTTTGCTGGGGGGCTGTCTCAAGCCAATGGAGGGTGTCCAGTAATATCACCCAAGTGTCGATACCCCACTATGACAGCCTGCGAGCCCCCAGAAGCAGCGGGGCGGGGAACGCTTGGCGTTTGTTGAGAACCGGCTGCTGTTCTCGTGGCTGGTCTTGTTCTTTGTCACGGGGAGAAGAAGCCAGGTCTGAGACCGTGTCAGCGGACGGACGCTTTCCCAACCCCTCCTGGGTGTCCAAACAGGGCAAGGAGCCATAGCCTTAAAGCAGGGCTCCCTCGGGTTTTCTGAGGCTGTGAATCTTTGTGGAAGCAGAAGGCCTCGTCTTTGTCCTAAGGATCAGCCGGTGGGTTTGAAACACCGACCTTGTAATTGGCAGCTCCATAGCCCACCGTGCCCCAGGACTCCTTCCACAGGAAGACTGTTCATCAACAGCAGGGGGTGGGCGCGCACCCCACCGTCCTCACCTCAAAGATGGCCAGGGAGAACGGGTGGGCCAGCCGCTTCTCATCCGATAGAATGGTCTTCCGGTTCCCGCCATTGACATCGATGCTGGAGATGGAGTGAAGCTTGGAGTCGACCCAGTAGAGGCGGCCGCTGGAGAGATCTAGGGCACATGAGTGGGCAGGCAGAGGTCAAGGTCTGATGCCAGAGGGCCTTTGGACTTGGCCATCCCGGTCCCATGGGCAGGAAGCCCCTGGGGTTCTGACACCACCCTCCGCAGCAGGGAAGCAGGACCGCCTGACTTGAGGGTCGAGCCACGTGCGGGGGCTTCCTCCCAATGGTCCCACCCCTCTGCCGCCAGGAGAGTGTTAAACTGTGGGTTAGGAAAACTTCAAGCAACCTTTTAAACTTTGACCCGAAACCATGTCTAGAGGTGGCTTTGCAGCCAAATAACAGATTGGCTCATAAAATAAACACTATCACCCACCAGCATCATGCTAAAAAAAGCCCCAAAATCTATTTGAGATGGGGTGGTCAATATTTACTCTCAAGCACAGATGGTGAGGGGCGAGGGAGCTGACGGAAGGGGAAGGCACGACCGGCGAGGGAGGAATGAGGACGGCGTGACGTGGGTGATGGGGCCGCGGTCACTGAAGGACACACCATGGGCGGCGCTCGTACCCCAGTGCCGCCCGGCACAACGGTGGGCACACTATAGAAGTGGCTCAATGGGACCTGATGTGCTGCGTAAACTGTTAACAAAACCACAGTCACGTGCTCCAAGAGACGTTGCCCGGGACACTGGGGATGAAGATGGAGGACGGGACAGCAGGCGTGGCGCCGGAGGAAGACCGACAACGGCATGCAGCGGCTGCACAACGTCCACGGGAAAACCCGTCCTCTTTGACGCCGTTTTCCCATACACTTTGTGAAGTCCCCTTGTGCCTGTCCGGATTGCTGAGACAGCAAATCTTAGGTCTATGTTACCACTGAAAAAACAAAGAGAGGTCTTCCTCCAGAGACAGACCAGCCATGCAACAAGGAAGCGGGCAGGCAGCTGGCGGCCCCGCCACCTCGGCGAGAAGCTCCTTTGAACCCCTAGCCTGTGCCCGACCCCCGGCAAGGCCACCATCATACCCAGAGTGATGCCATTGGGCCACTGGATGTCTTCCGTCACCAGCGAGTAGATGTCCACGCCGTTCAGGCCCCCCTTCTTGATCTTGGCAGGGGTGCCCCAGTCCGTCCAGTACATGAAGCTGGAGGGGGAGCAGGGAGGACAAGGCATCAAACCGCGCGTTGTGGGAGGCTCCCTGTGACACCCAAGAACAGCTTCCCCTGCAAACAGCCCTGGGGGCCAGGAATGTGCTCTCTGCCCGCCCAAACTTCCGGCCTGGACCCCGCACCCTGAACTCTGCTCTCCAAGCAGCGCCAACCCCATGACAAGAGCACCCCCACCCAAGTGACAAATCCTGTCACCTCTGCAAAGACCCAACAGTTCATGGGGGGCTGTCGGGGAGCGGGCCCTCACAGCCACTACTGGAGCAGGAGCAGGGCCCACGACTCGTGCCTTGAAGGGCAGCTTCACCATGCTGCACCCTTCAAGGCACCCTCTGAGCTAGAAGTTTGCACCCTCTGAGCTAGAAGCCGGCCTCTAGCGATCAGTCCCCCAGAAGAACCACAAAGATGAGTTGATGGTATTCAGTGCCACTCTGCATGAGGCAGCAAATGGCAGAAGTGCCCTGCACCGAGACCAGGGCATTAAAACCCGGCTCAGCGACAAGCCACACTGCCCAGGCCTGAGAAGGAGCCAGGCAGAGTACAGCTCAGCCCTCCCACCCCTCCATCCAATCTGGGTGGCTCTCTGTTCGTGTCCCTCTCCTGGCAGGTGTGTTGTCCCCCAACAAAGGCTCCCTTAGCAGCCCCCATTGCCTCACCCCGTCACGCCCCTCCCCCAGCCGCTCTGCAGCCGGAGTTGTGCCCACAGACGGGTTCTCCAGCACGCTCTCTCACCTGCTCCACCACCCTGGTCTCCCCAGGCCAGCGCTCGCCCCACATCCTCTCCTCCAGCAGGTCCCCCTCCTCCAATGTCCCTACCCATAGTGCTTCTGCACCCCTTACAGGCCCCCTCCCAGAAGCCAGCGTGCCTCCCACTGTTAGCTCCCAAAACCAAACACTCGCTTCTTCCAACTCTAGCTGCCAAGAGCAGCTGCCCGCCAGGGTTTGTCAAGGCCCCTGTGAAATCGTTGTAAAAGTCTGCATCACTCTGCTGAGGCGGCAGCTGTGGCCTGGCAGGTGCAGAGTTCGTGGGGAGGGGCGGGGACACGGGATGGGGCACTGATCCCTGTGTCAGGGCTGTGCAGCTGCTGAATCAGCCCTGAGGGCCACGGTCCCGGCTTCCCCTTCACCACACTCCCGCAACTTCCGACTACAGTCAGCCCTCTGAGTACTGGCTGTGGAATGTGATCCGAGGGCAAGGTAAAACAGTTCCCTGTCTGCTTCCACCAAGAGCGAGCTGACCCTCGTGGTGCCCAAGTGTGTGGGGCAGCCCCCTGGATTCACTCCCCTCCTGTTTGCTGAGGAGTCCCTGGGCAGTGCCAACGGTGAAGGCGCTCAGCAGCTAACCAAAAGGCTGGACGGTCCAGTCCACCCAAAGGCCTTGCAATCAACTTCCAAGAAGTAGACCACTCGGACCCTAGGAGAACACAGCCTCACAGTGACCCGGGACAATGGCTTGCCCGACGTAGGTTTCTGACAGCACAGGCCCTGTGGCCATCTCCTGCCGGCAGCTTGGGGCTGTTTTCCTCCCTCCTCCGCTTCGGAAACACCCACCCGTGTGTGGGATCCACCACAATGGCCCTCGGCTTCGAGTCTTTCTCCGTGAACAGCGTCTTCCTCTTCACGCCCTTGGTGTCCGCCACCGAGACGGTGCCGAGGACAGAATCGGTCCAGTATATGTGGCCGTGGACCCAGTCCACGGCCAGCCCGTCGGGGGCCTGCAGGTCCCTGCCGATGACGGTGTCGTAGGAAGAGAAGCTGTGGGCTCCATCGATCTGGGTGCTGCGGATCGAGGGAGGAGAGCGAGCGGGTGTCAGGCGGGGGACTGTCACAGTGCCGAGAGCCAGGAATGCTCAGGGCAGGGCTCACCTGTAGATCTTCCTCTGAGACAGGTCGGACCAGTAGACTCTGTTGCTGGCCACCTCCGTGTCCAGGGCGACCACGTTCTTCAGGTTGGGGATGAGGCTGGTGTATTCGCTGCGGTCCAGCGTCATCTTCCTCACCTCGTGGCGGTTGGTAAAGAAGAGGTAGGCGATGGTGCCTACGGGCGAGGGAGAGCAGTCAGGGGCTTGGAGAACCCCCACCATCTGCGCACATCGCCCCAAGCTCCGGGCAAACCGGAGGAGACACCCGGGAAAACAAGGTGGGCCCCCCAATTTTACATTTTTAGAAGACAGAGATGGAGAATGAGTAGCAGCTAACCTTTAAGGAGTCCCTGAGTGACGGAAAGAGCCCTGGTGAGAGTGGTGATGCGTTAAGCTGCTTATCCAGAAGGTCGGCAGTTCAAAACCACCAGCCGCTCCTTGGGAGCAACGGGCTGTCTGCTCCCCTACAGAGTCA